AAATAATTTTCACCAATATTCTGGACATGTTGATGATTTAAAATCATGTGATTGCTATTTTAATGTTTGCAAGGGAGACTAATTCTCAAAAACTCCTTTAACTAAGATAAAAATTTCAAAATTTCAAATTAGTTTGTCACCAGATAAAATAAAAATGTCCAATTGCTCATCTTGAACAGTATTAGGCTTCCTTCATGCATAATATAGTTACAGAAAATGTAAAGTTAAACTCTGCTATAAGATGTAGACATTAGACTTCAAGACTGGTCTTAAGTGTTTATTTCTGAACATGCCAAGATATTGTTTACTCTTTCAGTTTTTTACAGAAAAAATAAAACCACAGAACTATTACTAGGAAAATTCTGATAACTCTAGAGACCAAAGGTGAAATAAGACTCAGTTATTTGAAATAAATAAGCTTAAGAAATGTTTGGTTTCTTTTCACATTACCTAAATTTGAAATACCCTATGTCTGTGCTTCAAAAATATAAAATTATAGTATATGTTGACAGGTTTTTATTATACCAAAGAGGCAATATTAGTCTTTCTTTGGAAAATCAAGAAAGAAAGAACCTATTTTTTTTCTTTCTTGAGAGTAGAAAAATCAATACAAGAAAAAGAAAAGTCTGGTCCCCCAATAAAAGGGCCTGTAATTGAAGAGAGCAGTATTACTTTTTGATGGTTAAAAGCATTTTCCCTAGCATCCGGGATAATGTATTACCATCTAATTCTTAAGTGTTACAGTCACATATGTATATAATCACATATAAAAATACAGACACTGCATGACAACTAAACAACTATGGAGTTAAGCCATAGTCTAACTCAGAGCATTAACAAGTCACTTACATTTGTAACAGCTTGTTTAGATCTGAACAAATTTTCAGTGAGCATAATAGTAATTTTTAAATAATGTAATAAAACTCTTGCTGTGGTATTTTACTTTGCTGAATTAACTTGAATACTAGTATACTCTGGATTATATAATATAGATATATGTATAGAAACTTAAAAGGATCTTACATTTTCCATCATTTAGTCTGTGTCATTGGTTTGTATTAGTAAAACATTTTACACTATAAACATTGGAAGTTTTATGATCATGAATGGGAAAGGGTTTATACTCTACTACAGTGATGCTGGCAGATGTCTACGCAAGACTTCTTAGTGATGTCAATCAGTTGGAGACAGAGGTTTATCAATGAATTCATGCTGACATGAACTGCACATCATGCCTTCATAGGTCTTAAAAATTATTTGACTACATTCATCAATGCTTTTAGTTTTTCAACAGTAAGAGAATAGAGCATTAGGGGAACCAAAGGGTCACATCTCCAAGGCCCTGGAGAATTGAAATATCTCTATAAGACCTATGGATAGGGACCCTGGAGAAACAAAGCCTGAAGTGGAAGCCAGAAACTGAGAGAGAAGTGACAATGGCCAGTTTCTGCTGTGTGGTAAGGGCAGTGTATAAGGATGAAGATCCTTCCTGAGAAAATCCCCCCAAAATAATTCTGTTTAAGAAATGCCAGTCTTTATCTTTTGATCTACCACAGATAAATCATTTACACTTTCTGCTCCTGTTTAGCTCCAGATTCATCCTCCTGGGAATATGGTGAATGTCCAGTAATACCAAACCAAGAAGATAAAGCCATAGTCACATGTAATGTAGTAGGCATGGTAGGCACATGTGAACAGATGCAATTCATACAGGAATTTGTGATACGGGCAAAGGGCCACTAATACTAGTATTAGTGGTAGCCTTCTGGGTGGTCTTCTGGGGAGCAGGCAGTGGGGCTGACGTGTTGTTGCCACTCATTCACAGGCTGACAGACAATGTCCATTGTATAAAAAAATAATGGATTGCTTTTATTTTACTTACTGAAAATAGATTTTTCTCACTATCTCTATACACACACATTTACATATATCATATATGTATGTATGTATGTATGTATGTATGTATGTATGTATTCCTCACCATCATTTCCCTTCCTCCTACTCCTCCTCTGAGTTCCTCCCCACCTCACCTCCCATCCATATCTACCCCCTCAGATAATGACTTAAGGTCCTCCACATGATGGTGTAGTTTGTTTTCCCAATGAAACTCTGTTGGAGAAAACTAAATTTTCACTTGTAAGTGGTTATCAATTGGAGATTGCTCCTGGGTTATGGATATGTGTGTGTTTCCACTTCTGCTTTCAGGTCTAGGACCCCATATGGTGCAGTCCTGTACAGACCGTATGCCAGCTCACCTCAGTTTCTATCAGTTCTAACATGCATTGATCATATTGATTTAGAGGGCCTTGTTTTCTTTTTTAACATTTTTAATGGTTGCTTTTTTATGTACATTAGTGTTTTGCCTGCATGAATTTCTGTGTGAGGGTGTGGTATCCCCTAGAACCAGAGTTACAGACTATTGTGAACTGCCATATGGGTCCTGGGAATTGAATCAGAGTCCTCTGGAAGAACAACCAGTGCACTTAACCTCTGAGCCATCTCTTCAGACCCAAGGGAAAATTTTTTTCTTTGTGTCCTCCATCCCCTTGTCTTTGTGTTACGATAAATCTTTCCACCAAAAGCCGCCTCCAAGCCCCACCACCACATGTGCATTTTATGCCAGCTGCCCTCCTGAGTTAGGACCCCAATTAATGCACAGAGAGACTTGCATTAGGTTTAAAGCTGCTTGGCCAATGACTGGGATTCTCATCTGCTAGCTCAGTCTTAATTATCATAAATCTATATATTTTATAAGACTTATCTTTATAGAGGATGCCTTTTGCTGACACCCTCTCTTGCTGGTGGCTCACATCCTGCTGCTGGAGGATGCGAAGGGGAAAAGGGGACATTTCCTGTTTCCTTTGCTTAAATATGAGTCTCCTTGCTATGTCACTTCCTGCCTGGATCACCACTTCTCTACTACATTTCCCAGAATCCTCTTTGACTCCTAGTCCCATCTAACTTGCTGTCTCATTGGCCAAACAGTATTTTATTTAATAATCAATAAGATAAACATACACAGAAGTATTTCCCCCATCATCTTTGACAGTGTTTCTGAGCCCTGAGGGGAGGGATTTGATGGAGACACCAAGTTTAGGACTGACTTTTCCAAAGTTTCTCACTCTCTGCATAACTTCTGGCAATGGGTCTCTGCATTTGTTCCTATTTGCTGCAGGAGGAAGCTTTTGTGATGATGGCTGAGCAAACTGACTTTTCCAAAGTTTCTCACTCTCTGCATAACTTCTGGCAATGGATCTCTGTATTTGTTCCTATTTGCTGCAGGAGGAAGCTTTTGTGATGATGGCTGAGCAAGACACTCGATGAGTATAGCAGATATAGGTATCCATAAAAATTAGATATCATTTTTATTGCTATTTTGGGAGGGGAGGGTATAGAACAGTAGTATTTCGTTTTGCTCTAGGTTCTCTGGGCTATCTAGTCCCTGGTTCTTGGTCAGCCAAGCAGTTATGGGTTTCATTCTGTGAAGTGGACCTTAGGTCAAATCAGATATTGGTTGGTTACTCCCACAAGCTTTGCGCCACCATTGTATTAGCATATTTTGCAAGCAGGACACTATTGCAGCTCGAAGGGTTTGTGGTTGGACTAGTTTTTGTTTTTCCTTTGGTAGTCTGCAGAGTATCTTCTGGTGCCAAAGATGTTAGCATATAGGGTGAAGGCTCTATGGGCACCAGCTTGACTTTTCCATATTCAGTGAGTTGTGTAGGTGTTGTCTCCAGCAACGGGGCCTTAATATCAATTTGTGGCAAGTAGCCTATGTTCTTGGTTTTTGAAACTTAACAAATGAAGTTATCATGACACAGAATTCAAAGTAAATCTCAGGAATAAAGACGCATACCTACACTTTTCTAAGAAGAACTCTTTTCCCCTTTCATTTGAGAGCTTAGAATTTTCAGCCCTATACCAAGTAGCTTACCAGAACCAGGCAATACTGAAACTAACACATTTCCAAACCCATCAATGAGTTGTGCACCCAATGATCTGTCCTGATCCTTATTTTTTTGAATCTCTTTTTGTAGCTGGCTTATCTCTGAATTCATCGCTTCATATTTCATTTTAAATCCCTCGTTAAGCATGTCTTCTTGCACCTATAAAAAGAAAAATACACTTGGAAAACCATGCTTATTGAAAGTCAGGGGTTTGCTCTAACAACTCAAATAGTTTAGGAATGTGTCTATCACTCTACCAAACAGTGCTCACTGATAAATTTGCCTGATTGCTGGGTGATGAGAAATGGCCAAAATAAGCTGTATCCTGTGGCTTCCTCAGCACCATTCACAAGAGTGGAGATGTCAGACAAGGCCAAACCTGAACACTATCACTCTAATGAGTTCTTGGACCCACACAGCCTTACCTTCAACTTGTGTGCTAGCATTTCCTCTTGCTCTCTCAGAAGGGTCTTCCTTTCAGTCTCCATCTTCTCATGCAGCTGGGCCATGTTTTCCTTGTAGCTTCTCTCTTGAGCTTCCATCACTTGCTGCAGTTCCTTCTGTTTCTGCCTTAGTAACTCCTGTTCCTGTTCTGCCACCTCCTTCTGAGCCCGCTCAACTGTCCCACAAGGGTTTGAGAGAGGCAAAAATACAACAGTCAGGACTGAACTCTCCTTTCTTGGGCTAGATATGTAGCTGATTTTGAAAAATGCAAGGGAGAAGTCTGAATTCGTCCCCATACCTCCAGAGCACATTTTGGAATGATGCTGAAGGCATGCATGACACCAGTTGAGTGAGACCATATTCCCCTCTTAATTTCAGATTAGCAGAGTGTGCACTTTGTAGGAAGACCTTTCTGACCATAAGTCAGCAGGCTTAGCAGAAGCCTACCCTTCCCTGTGAGAGCTAAGTCCTCCCATGTACCTTCCATGGCCTTCTGCCCATCAGTGAGGGCTTTGTCTGACTGCAGGATGAAGTCCTCTATGGTAACCTGCGACTCTAGGAAGCTCTGAAGGACATGATTTGCCTGGGGAAATAGGAAAGTGAAATTGTCAGCCCACAAAACACTACACATTTTCTCATCCTACATAAGACCCCCCCAATTTCCTTCCCTTTCACAGTAGTAAGTCAAATCTTTTCTGTAATTTTTGAAAACCTTATATGAGCCTTCTCCCAAGTCTCTCTTTCTAGATAGCATCCCACTTCTCAGGTTACAGCCACAGAGATGTAGGCAGATCCTCAAAACTGCTCTTTCCATGTCTAATACACTCACACACTTCTTGTCTTCTAGAATCCTAGTTGTGTTTTTATTAGCCAGGGAAACACCCATTGTTTTTCCATCGTTGCTCTATATCTTCTTTTAAAGTGAGCGTCACTAAGCTGTCTTCTGAGGTCTGCAGTGGCTGCTAAATACACTGAGTGGCTCTACCTACTCTTCTGTGGCCTGACAATGCATTAGTGTCTCAGTCGTCCCATTGCACAACTCTTAAATGTGCACAATAGTATATAATTAGACTTTTATTCTGAGGATTGAATTGCCTCTTCCAAAGTGGCGTGTGCTTTCAAGTTACTGATGATATGTGTCATTTAATGCAAGGTATTAAAATTTGGGCACACTGGGTCATGTCTATATTACCAGCACTGAAAAGTTAAGTGATGAATTGCAAGTGAAGAAAGTTAAACTTGATGAATTGCAAATTCAATGCCACTCTGGCCTTGCTCCACAGGACCCCATCTCAGAACAACACAAAGGGAAAAAAAACTAAAAAGTGGGTGTTGGCTGTGCAAGCATTATTGCAACCACCATAATATTAGTTACATCATTATTTCTGCTCTCTGTTTGTGCTGGGATAGTTCTTACTCTGATGAATCCAACTGACAATTTATATGTGAGGCAATGTCATCAGTATCTTATGGACAAGTGTGTCTTTGATCTTCAAATCCCACTGTTTAATTCAGAAAAAAATGCTTTGGTTAGTCAATGGAAAAAATGTTCTATTCCAGTTAGGATTATTTATTCTAAACTACTTTGAGAGAAAGACTAATTTTATGACTTCATTGAGAAAAAGAATGACAGAGAGATATGGGGGATATTCTCGTCATACAGTGTGTGTGTGTGTGTGTGTGTGTGTGTGTGTGTGTGTGTGTAAATTTCTTAACCTAACCGAGTACCATATACAGTACCTGCAATGAAATACATAAACAATGGAAGTTTAAATAAATAAATAAATATAGTTAACTCTGGCTTTCACAAAAGCTGGAAGGGCATAGGTAGACGATGTCTTCATGAACAGTTCAGATCTAAGGAGAAAGGATACTTCCTGGTAACCCTGTGACCCATCTCCCTGATGCTTATCCCTCATTCCTCACCTTCACTCCCTTCCTGGGCACTCGCTCATAGCCCTGCTCAACCTTCCTCCTGGCTTCTAAGTAGAGGCTGTGCCCACCAGGAACAGAGAAAGCTCCACGTGAGATACTCTCCCTCAGGGGCTCTGCAAGCTTCTCCAGCTCAGTCTGGCAGTAACTGAGAGATGCTGTTTCATTCTGTCGAAAGAAATCTTCCTTCTTTTCTTCTATGGCAACCTGCCAAGGGATGTAGAGACACCAAGAAAGGAAACGGTTAGAAAACAGATGCAGCTGTGGTGTTGGAGGAAGTAACAGACTTAGACATGGAAATTACACCGCGGGTCAGGAAACTCTCTTCACTACCATGTCTGAGTAACCATGGATGCTCTATGCCTTTCCAGTGGCCAGGCTCATTCCCTATGAGATAATAAGGTCTAAGGGTAGGACCTTTGGCTCTTTCGGCAGCACTAACATTAGCAGTGCACTATTCTCCAGGTGAACAATGGGACATGATTGGCAGGAGTATTCCCTCCAAGAATCAATATGGAGGAAAACACACCTGTGAAAAAGCAACTCATAGTGACAGGAACTTTGTATAGATTCATGAGCCCTTCATTAATTCCTCTGTGGAACATAGGTGTGTGGAGGCATACTAAAACTTGGTCTTGTACTTATAAATTACAGTCCAACGGAGTCTCTTCCTTGAGTTATGAGGCTCCACAGAGCTTTCAGGTGAGAACCTAACTAAGTTTGCATCAAGCTATGGTTTCCTGGTACCCTGAGCAGAGCACTCCAGCCTCCCTGCACTGTGCTTATTATCTACAGAACTCAGGTAACGCATATGTGTTTTTTCATGCTGATCCTCTTATTGAAACTTCTTGTGTATCAATGAAAAATTAAACAAGTCCCTGACTTTTGATCCTGTAGAACCCTGTCATTCACAAGAATCAAGATGAATGACAAGGTCAAAATGGCAGCCATTAATCAACACTTCTCAAAAAAAGAAAAGGCCCAGACACAGTACCACCAAGTTCTTCTGGAATAGCTGGTTTTCATCCTTGAAAGAGTGCTCCATGAAGATAGCAATGGCTTTCTTCTCGCAGGCTGTGTGCACATTGAGCAGTTCCTGGAGTGTGTCTGTGGGGAGCCTCACTAGTTGGGACATCTGCTCACTGTAGTGGTCAGTTGCCTTCTGCACAGCTATAGAGTTCTCACGCTGGGCCAGAGTTGTCACTGCATTTTCCAGACAAGGCACTGCTCCACTATTGATGGAATCCACATAGGTTGTCACCAGAGTTGCCAGTCCTGATCAAGGCAAAGAATTTAACATTAAATAGCAAGCTAACTTTTAGTATTTCACATGATTCATGAATCATCAATGAAATATTAAATTACTCAAGCAATGAATATTTCATGCATGAAAGCAACGCCTATTTTGTTGGACCCATCCTCAAATGAAAATGATAATATTTTTTAATTAAAGAATTTAAAGACAATAACAGAGCATTATGTGAGAGGAGCAGCTCCTCTGAGTACAGATGTCATGTGTCTGTGAAGAGCCATTTCATTGAAGGACCTGTGTGTATAACACAATAGTTAATTTGTGTGGGGAGGTTGTGGTGGGGGCCAAATGACAACCATTGTTGGCTTAATTTTGTATTTTACTGAGACAAAGTCTATCACTGACTGGAAGTAGGCAAAACTGGCTGGGTAACAAGCACCAATCATCTGTCTGCCTCTGTTTCCCAGGAACAGGTGTGTACCACCAGTCTCAGAACTTTTAGGTTGATTCTGGGAATTGAACTCATACTTGCAAGCTAAGCCCTGTACTGACTGAACCATCTCCTGAATCCGAAAATAGTGAATTTTATCCCAAACTCACAATGAACTTTTAGGAACCTTGGTCTCTTACTTACTTTAGAACTGTTTTTCTAACCAGACAAATACTAATGTCCTTGTACATTATTCAAATACAGATATTACCTCTTGAATGGGATGAGGGCAACTAATCTTCTATCTTCCTGGTACTTTGTACAGACTCCAGTGGATTAAGAATTTAACAAGTGTTTACTGGACAATTAACTAATGAAACCAAAATGTTAGAAGGAATTATCTGATTTTTCCTATATACTGTTCAGAAATGAAATTTGTGCCTTTGATGGGGGATGTCCACTAAATGCTGTGACTAGGTATTTCTCTTATTGGTTGATGAATAAAGCTGTTTTGGACAATGGACAGGCAGAATTTACCTAGGCAGGAATCCCAAAAAAAGAAGAAATGGGAAGGAAGACAAAGAGATAGACACCACGTAGCCACTGGGGAGGCAGGACACCAGGGCATAACCTAGGTAAGCCTGGGCCATAATGTGATACACAGATTAATAGAAATTGGTTAATAATTAAGAAAGAGCTAGCCAGCAAGAAGCCAAACCCAATGGTCAAACTATTATAAATACAAATTAAGTCTCTGAGTGGTTATTTCATAGTGTCTGCAGGACCTGGTGGGTAGAGAGAAACCAGTCCAGTGGGATCAAGATAGATGGAGAAAAGACTCCCTTTACAGGCCTTAAAATAAAGTGATGCAGAAAACCATGAGATGAAACCAGGAAAAAAAATGAAAGATGACATATGATATCAGGTCAGAACAGAAAAACACAAACATTAGCTTCCTTCGTCTTGCTTCTTTGAATATTAGTCATTTCTTAAGATAAGGCCCCATGTAGAGAGATAATATTTAAGAAAAGACAAAGTTTTCTGATTAGCATGAACAACTGTTTCTCTGTATTCATATGAGATACTAACATTTAATCAAAGTTTTACAGCAAACAATTTCAAAGTAGAGAGATTCCCTGGGACAAAGGTAACTCACTGTTTCCATTGACAACAATTCCCTCTTTCAAGGTCTTGGCCTTTGCATTGGAGAAGATGTAAGAACAGAATACTTTAGATTGCACTTGGAAATTGTGATCCAGCTGGTCTTCTGGCATTTCTTCAACATGAACTAAGAGTTCTTTTTCTTTTGTAGGTCGATCAAAGACAAAACACTTCCGGTTTGGAAAGAAATGCCTGATACATTCCCTAGGCATGTTAGACTTTTGGGCTTTGAGACTCCTGCCTGTAAAAATATATGAAAGAAATTTGTTCTTTGAGAGGACAGCCTTCAGTTTAGAGGCCTGGTGATTTCATGTCCAAAGAGTTTAAAATCACAGCTGTTCTTCTATCAATACACATCCTGCAATTGACCACATGCCTCTTCATTCGAGCATCTAAGACAATGATAAATCCATTTCTGCTCAAAAGTAAAGAGCAATGAAGTGATTATGAAGCTAAAGAGGACCAGATATTCATGGGATGAGGGCAACTAATCTTCTGTCTTCCTAGTACTGGTACAAACCCCAGTGGATTAAGAATTTAACAAACATTTACTGGACAATTAACTAATGAAACCAAAGTATTAGAAAGAGTTTTTTTTTTACTTTCCTATATCCTGGTCAGAAATGAAATTTGGGCCTTAAAATGAAGTGATGCAGAAAACAATAAGATATAATCAGGGAAAAAAGAAAGATGATATAATATCAAGTCAGGACAGAAAAGCACAAATGTCAGATTCCGATAGTCATACACCATAAATACATTAGGAGATTCTGTGCCTTGACAATTGTGATGAATAATATTAACTTACTGTAATATAAAGACCTCTTCTCTCTCCTAAATCAGAGTCTGTTAGTCTTGACTGAGAATTAGAGCAACCCCATGCCATACAAGTATTCAATAAATATTTGTTGAGAGAAAAAAATGAATTAATGAATAAAATTACAAAGAGACCTGTCTTAAGAACTAAATATTGTATATTCAAAAATATATATAATGTCAAATATACTGTGAGGCTGTCAAGAGAAGGGGAGGATAAGAAAGTAAAATAAAATATTTGAATCTTATTGAAAGGAAATTTGATATTTATAATATATCGTTTATCTGAAAAAATCTTAAGTAGCCAAGTAGTAGTAAAATACACTGTGCAAAAGAATTACAATTTGGAGTAGATCACTTCATTTCATGTCATGTTGTGTGATCTGTGTACGTTCACACACACACTCTCTCTCTCCCTCTCTCTCTCTCTCCATTCTGTTTAAACTCCAGCAGTTGAAGAGTTTCCTCTCATCATGTGAGCATTGTGGAATCTAAGGATGAGGTCTTGCCCGCCACCCCATCTCAGAGCAGAAGGGTGGGGAGCCAGAGCCACCTGCAATGTCCCAGCCAGTGAGTCAGGGTGAAAGGACATTTATGCCAAGTGCTGAATGAGACAGTTAGAGCCTTCATCCCAAGCCAGGCTCTGATACCTGGGGTCAGCTTCAGGGCATTCTCCAGATACTCGTCTGCTGTGATGATGCGTCCATCTAACTTCAGCTCCAGAACGAAATCCCGAACAGCCCAGACAAAGTCTGGAAAGAAACTCACAAACTCATCGGAGTCATCAATTTCTTCAGAACGTGAAGTGGATTTTGCCCTGATCAGCTCTGTCAGTTCAGTAACATAGCTGGGACCTTAGCTAAGGAATAAAAGGCAGCATTCTCCCCTCCCCAGATTTCTCCTACAAACTCATTTTACAAGCCACCTGGTTTTTCCCACATAAGCTTTCCTAACTCCTAAGAACTGAGTAATATAAGCAATATTCCCAGTTGTCACTTTTTGTAATTAATGAAACATGACACTTTGGTCCCTGGAAGGATACTGCAGCTGCTCCAGGGCCTGGTGGTTGATGGTGCTCATGCTGTTATAGACAAAGGTGCTGCTGAGAAGCACAGCCAGGGCGAAGATCCAAGAGTCATTCTTAGAGTCACCCTAGAAGGCACATGAGGGGACAAGAGACCTCAGAATCTAACCTCCATTCTTTCACTTGTTTATTTGCTGCTTAGGCAGAAACACGAAGAAGAATAGGATGAAGAATAATGTTATAAAGAGTAAAAAGTTCATTTTTCCTTTTCAGTGTGGAAACTGACCTTACCAGTTTCCACAACCAAAATCAATGATGCTGTTAATGTTTGCTACAGTGCTTAAACACAGTGTATGCACAATATCAACATACCATTTAATTAACAGGTTATCGATTATGTCATATTAGAGGTAGGAATATTTGCTCAAATTTGACAACTATTCATGAAACATCTGCAAAACACCAAATACTGCATTGATCTGTGTGAATGCAATTTTTCCTGTAACAATAGGGAGAGGCAGACCTGTAAATATAGAAACACAACCATGATGATCGTTAGTGCAAAAAAATAGAATGGAATGATAGTACATGAAGAAAAATGACTAATTTTAGTAAGTGCAAGGAGGACTATGTAACTTCAGAGTAAGGTGACTGGGTCGCTGAGATATGATGGCTATGGTAGAAAACCAGCTTCATGCTAGTAGATGTAACTACAGATTTAAATAAATCACACATGAGGGAAGATCAATACAGTAAATAAAAATATTATAAGTGAAAACCAGGCAAATAGAATTAGATGCTACCCAGTTCCACAAACTCCAGAGTCAGTGGTTCATACTCTATCATCAGGGTGCACTATGGTGTCTCTCCCTTGCTCTTATAAAGCATATGGACTTGGTTCTTATAAGACCTGATGTAGCAGCAGGAAGTCTTTAGTATTCTGAGGACATCTTCTTTTCAATTCCCTATTTTAATATTCCTAAAAAGGTTGAATTTAGATCAATAGAAGCAAAGCTTGGGTCAGACTACAAAGTGCTTCTACAAGAATTCATCTTGGGCCTTTCCTTTCGGTGGCGCACAACGGCAAGACGGCTG